ATACACACACATATTTTTTCCTGACAAAATCATGATTCTCTCGAATATAAATTAATTTCATGCAATGAAATATTGATTTGGCCCCATACCGTTAGCTTATAAGCGTATGCGGAAGGTCATTTCCATTGTTTCATCGTCTCGATGTGGTTCTCAGCATTTTTGTTTATCAAACACGTGCCGATGCCCATTCCTTGTAAGTAGTTCAGTGTTTAAATGCAAACCATGCTATAGTCATCAGTGTGTCGCCAATTTTTTTTCGTATGCAGATGTCTCGATTTCTAAACGTTCCTTTATTATTTTATTTATGAATCTATTGTTTCATCGTAACACAATATGAGTTCTAAGTAGATCAACCGCCGTTGAAAAAAGGAAGCAAGCTCCGTAAGTTACATTATTGTTGATTAATAGATTCGTCGTAAGAATTCTGCGAATCGGCAATTGGAATTGTAGTAATAATAATAGCATGAAAATTGTTATTAGACAAATGCTGCACGTGCGATTTGAATTGTGTATGGTTTACGATGAAAATTCCAATGAAAACATTGTTGAAAAAAAAAAAAAAACTAAATACACGATGAATTGAAATTGAAATCACGCACAAAATCAGGAAGACTATATTTCTTAACAACTTAATTTACAATCTTGATTCTATAAAACGCACGACAACTAACAAGCAAACAATGCATCAATTGAAATTCTTTTTACAGAAACATTTTCTCTCCCTCTCTCTTTTTGTTGTCTCTTTGCAAGATAGTTTTTCAGATTGGTACACTCAGCTGTGCTTTACAGCGTAATGGTGAACATGTAACTCAATTCATAGGGGAATTCATTTGTTCGCATACCAAAAGTGTCACATATATTAAACGACAGTTATGGCAAAACAGAGAAAACGGCACGGAAACTATGTCAACATATTGTTATGGATTATCATAACAACATACCGACACAACGTTGAAATTCGAATTAAATTGCTGATTATTTTATGCGAAAAAATGCGTTATTCGATTGTGAGTCAGATTGAACGGCATGAATGAGAATCAGTGGATTTGCTTGGCAATCAATTTACTTCTTCTTTTCATCGCATTACGCACACTTTAATCTCATAATACAGGTGACGATAAATTACTGTCATTCGTTCGTATCTATGTGATTTGCGCACATCAAGTTCACGATTTTATTAATCATCATGACAGCGATTGATTGAACCAGTGTCAGTTTTTAATTTCATAAAGTTCAACGCATTATTTGCACCTAATTAATCGTTCTTACAAACATCATTAAAACAAAACGTTTGATATTTGAGTCGAATGATTCAGAGAAATCAACTACTTGATAGCAAAAACCTAATCACTAATTAGAGCACTTATTTCAAATCAAATAACCAAAAGGTAGCAATTTACCATGAAAAAATATCTACATGCATTAAATTTGTTCGATAACTCACAGTTTATGAGAATATTCTAACAGTTACGATAGCATTTTGTTTGTTTCCACTATCCATTTGTTTCTAGTATAAATTCGTTATTTTTGAAGAAATATCATTTCGTTTCATTTTTGATGAAAATTGAGCTTTTCATGTTCAAAACAACCTAAATGTCAGAGATGTACCAATTATTTACAATTCAAGTTTTAACTCAGGTTAGAAAGAACTGAATGATTTGAACTTTTTTTTGCGATTTGACGTCATATACATACGCTTGCCGCTATTCAAATATTTGTTTGGCAACGCATCTTAAAATTAGAATTTTTCGAGCGAAAAACACATCTACTGAGAAACAATCAATTTTCAACTTGTTTTTATTTTTACTCATTGCGTACTACGCAGTGCGTAATATGAGATCCGAGTGTGTATACAAACGTACTTTCTCAAATAACTGATGAAAATCAACGAACCAAGTAAAATGTGTGGTGTGTGTTTCACTTTGGTAGTTATTTACATGAGTTTTTACATGACGGAAGTTTTGATATTTTTTATTTATAACTTAGCGATCCAAGGGAGGGTTTAGTTTTAAAACGTTTCCGAAAATCAAGGGGTATAATTTGGTCGCAGAAAAATAAAGTACAAAAGAGGTCCGCATTTCTGACCACACGGACCCTTGGTCAGAAGCAATGATTATGACAAAAACAAAATCAAAATTTCGATGGATTTACCCAAATTTAAAGCCATTTTCACCATTGTTGTCGGATTTGGGTAAAAAAATCAGCAATTTGCTCATAATCTATAGAAATTTGAGTATTTTTAGAGAATTCAATGACTTCAAAATTACCTTTCTGAGTTAAGCAATCACATAAAATTGTTATGAATACAATAGCGATAAAAATATGTAAGATTGTATTTCAATATAAAGAAAATCTCGATTTTTTGTTAATATCGTGTTTGAATCGAAAAACTGATGAATTTGATTTTATTTTTTCACTAATATCTCCCAAATGCAACATTTAAACCACAAAAATTTGAACATCAATGTGAATTTTGCATGAACATCGATGTGGAAACTTGTTTTGTTCATTATGGTCGTAGACTTTATTATTTTTCCATTAAAATTTTGATACTCATTGAATTTATTTTGAAACGCGTCGTTTGGTTTTATGTGATTATACATTTTTTCGTTTTCTTACAGTTGTTTTCTTCAGTTATTTTTTCCTCATGTTCCATATCAGTCATGTTTGCTGTATCTGTTTCGTTTTCGCCCAAAATTTCTACAACCACATTGGATAATGTATCTTCATCTGGTTGTACTTCTTCTGTCGATTCTTCTTTGGTGTCATTTGCTTTTTCATTTTGATTCGTTTTATCTGCTTCTGCATTCTGTGATGCACCTTCGTTTGATGATTCACAAACATCACATAAGAATTTTTCAATATCACAAATGCCAAGTAAAATGGTTAATTTCCTTAGTTCCAAATCTTCCATTGAAAATTCGCCGAAAATATCTCTTTTGTACAAATTCACCATTAAGCAAAAGTCTCTAATTTTTTTGCAACATTCCTTCGATTCATCACATATTGGATTGTTGTAGTTGTCCATGAATATCGAGTTACAAGAATCGATGCAGTTTACATGATTCTCCCAAAATTCGTCTTGATATTTTAGCATTAGATGTCTTGCTTCTTTTGTGTCAGCATTCTTTTTAGCGAATTCATGTTCGAATATTGCATTCAGCCTCTTCACGCGATCAATCAAATCATTAAATTGGCTCAAGTCTGATTGATATAGTTGGTCAATCGATGTCATCTTTAATACTAACAATTTATTCAACTTTGTTCTAATTTTTATTTAACTCTAAATATTCAATCCGGACTGCCGTAATATATGATTACTAAAAGCAAAGTCTTTTTAATATATGATTACTTTTTACGTTAAAAATCAAAATTGAGCGCCTACTTTATTTTTACGACTATAAAGAATGAAATCAATTGGAAACTGAAAAAAAACATACATTCACTTTTTACACATAATAACATATGAATATAATATCCTATGAAATTTATGACATATCAGAGATCAACGAAGCTTTGATTTTTCATATCATTTCAGGGGAAACATAACTTATTGTTTGTCGTGCGCAAATATCGATGGGTGCTGCATTGATAGAGACAGTCATCGCGACGATTCAAAACATATGGAGTATGGGAAGTTTCAAACAAATATCACATTACCGAAATACATTTTTTGATCAATATATTGTGTTATCGTTGTCATCGCGAATTATAATTTGAATTTTTCGAACCTTTTTTTTTAACTTCGCATCGTACGACAACACCTGTTATTTACGCCTTTCGTTGCTTCCTTGTTATAACGATTATAATGTGTTTTTATAAACGATCCGAATACGAAACATATCTAATTGAGTTGTTTTTTATTTGCAGAGTACTCGACCTGTTTTGTTTGTATGTTTAAAATATATATATAAATTCTTTCTATTGTATTATAATTGAGTAAATGATGTGCTATAAAAGGAATTGAATGTTTTCAAAACACATTCCATGAGAAACCATCACTCTATAAATTCAGTAAATATCCACCAGCTTAAAAAAGTATTCTTCATATACAATCACTAAGCTGTGTAATTCTTTACGGTGGCGAGAATGATAACAGCAAAATTAATGTCATATAAAATCATTGTCCATCAATGTAAATGAGAAGAGCAATAAAAAAAATCTTGTCGAAACCGCATTTTTAAAGAATATATGCCCTTTGAAACGACCACTGTGTGAGAATGATATCATTTCACTCAATTTTGGGAAAGTTCATGCAAAGTGTGTTACTTGTATTACGTTACAAATGCATACACGAAATGAACTCTTTGCTATCAAAATTTCTTTACATCACTAATCAATTGCAATATATACGTATTGTGAATGGTTATAGAATATTCTTAACTGAATTGCGTTTTTTTCCATAAAGCTTATATTATTCAAATCAATACCTTAGGCGCTCGGAACTTGAACAAAACACCTAAAATAAACAAAATGAAATAGGTTCATAATAGTAAATGTTTCACAATTTACGTAGTTATTTACGGTTATTTGTGATTATACAGATAATATGTCTTTTAGTAGTATAAACTAAATGTACTTATACAAAATTGCTTCATTTGTACATGTGTCTCTCTTCTTACTATAGCATAATTGCGTTCATATATAGAGATTTAGCTTTTTCATGCGATCATAGATGTCATAAAATTTCTTCAAGCCTGATTGATACGGTTGATGATTTGATGTCATTCCCATTATCTATATATTATGAAATATATTAACTCAAAATGTAATTCAACTCAATCCTCTCTAATGTAAACAATATTCATCGATATTCTACTATTGTATTGTATTTCCTTTGTCATTGAAAAAGGTGAAAAAATTCCATGTTTTTTTCTAAAACGCTCATTAATTTACATTCCAAATCCAAATTAAGTCGTTTTTTATTTACACAAGATTACTGAAAAATGCGAAAAAAAACTTGTTATTGTGAAACTTTGCCAAATGATATGGTATAAAATGCATTGTTATAAGCAATTTCAAAACACGTATTCCACCAATTGCTAAAGATGAAGGGACAAATAATTTGTTTGTTGGTTCTAAACCTAATTTTCATTTGGGGAGGTGCTAATGGATCGTGAGTTCTGTTTTTTTGACATTTTTTGATGAAGTCAAATTAAATAACGTTTTTTCTTTAGAAAAGTTTGTTTTTAAAATATTATTCCTTTAAATAGCGACGCATTTGAAGATGTAGCCAAAAACTTGATGGAGAAGAGTACACAAAGGCTAGAAGCATCAGAACATAAGAAAAGAGATCCATATGTGCCATTTCAATCTAATCCAGAAGCCTATGCTGAACAGTTCAAACACTTCTTGCAAACTTTTAATAGCGGCGACAGCGCGTATAACAATTTTAAAATCTTTTTTTTTGCTTGGCCATTTCTTCATATTTGTAATTATTAAAAAAAATAGAATTTCAGAAGAATTCAATAAACTCGGATTCTATGCATGGGAGGGTCATTATATTACCAAAGTATATTTGAACGCAAGTTTGCGTAAACAAATATCACTTCACTCGACACCATTCCAGGATATTCATTCTGATATTATTGACTCCAAAAATATGTATGATTTTGATTATAATATAGATATAGTTTAAGCCCAAGGAGACTCTAAGGTTTCTAATTAAGTTTTTCATTCACAGTATTTTTATACGGAACGCTGTAGCCCACTTCTCTAATTGGACTTCACTCATGTTGGTTCAAACGCAAGCCACTCCAGACAGGAACATGGAAACAATTCGTGTTATTCTCACTGAAGTCCTTTTAGCACTAGAAGATACAAAAGCACCCAGTTTCAAGTATGGCACATTTGAGTAAAACCATTTTTTTCTAAAATTTAAATGCATTTCTTTAAATAACAGAGAATTCGAGATTTTCCTTGTCTATTTTTACCAAATACTGAAACGTTTGAGAGGTGCAGAAGTGATACACCAAGATCCTTTCATTTCGGAAGAATTCTTGAGACTGTCGAATAAATATTTCCATGGCGTTGAGTAAGTTCTTGGTTAAAACATTTGATTAGTGTAAACATTAATAAATATATATATATATTTCACGCAGAATAATCAATAATGAAGCTACTTCGACTTGCTGTTGGTAAGTACAGCTATTCAGTTTATGTTTCTCATGTAATCATGATCTTGATTTTTGGACATTTCAATCGGAATACTTTCAACAGTGCTGAAAAAGGCGGCATATCAGGTCACGTTAAGACGAAACTTAAACTACTCCAACATAAAAAGAAAGTACACCTAAAATTTATAAGTACTAATTTTGATGACGTGTCCAACGAATTCAAAAATTTGTATTACAGTATTTTCGAACAAGCACCCGTGTGAGTAAAGATTTTTTTTTTATAAAATGATCCATTTTTTGATGTACGTTTCTTTTATCATTTTCAGCAAATTCGATATAAAAAGTATTAAAGACCAGTTTAACGTTTACTATTTAAGCTATTACCGAGAAAAACAACGTGATTTAGATTTTCGTTCTGTTCAAATTGGACAAGTTTTTCTGAATCAACTATTCACTGAGAATCCAACACTTTATAAACTGGACACCTATCCACCAGCTTAAAACATGTTCTGAATGACATGGAAATCAAAGATATCTAACTAAAAGCTAAATGTCAAATAATATCTAGCCAATATTCATCAGTGAATATTCCAAAATAAAGATTAAATTCTTGCTATTTCAATGGGTATTATACAAAATTTGCATTTTTGAATAATTATTTTATTGCTGGAACTGAGAAAATGAATACCAAAAACTTTATAACTTATTCTTTGATATAAAATTAAAATTCATATATGAAATATCTGTTTTTGTGGAGTTTTCCTACAAACAATGTATCAAACAATGACGTCTTACCAATAAGTCTTTCTGATAAGAAGAAAAAACATTTTTGTTTGGCTGGCAACCGCTCCAATGGCGCTACCATCAACGTTGCTTGTCATCGTTATGCTTTGGAATAATCGGTACATCCATTTTTCCGCATAGAAATTTGTTTTTAGGAAGAAAAGTATTGCGTTTGACGATACACTTTGTATGAAATGAATGTCTAAATAGGAAAGTGTTGTCATCAAAAGATTTTTTAAATTATGGAAATTAAGATTTTTAAAAAGTATGTAGACATAAAAAAAAAATGGAAATAGCAGTAGCGATTTCTACTCTCTGATTTTTTGTTAATTTCCATTTACACTAAACATTTTCTCAGAAAAAAGCTGTCGATCAAAAATACAGTTGTAAGGAGTTCAATATAAAATACAATATTAAAGATAGAAACCTTACAAATTACACTGTTTCATAATAGGCGTGTTTTTCATAAAGCGATTTTAATGTTTTTTTTTTTTTTTTTTGAATATTTGAATTGTGTCCGTAAGAATAAATATGGCAATAAAAAAACGGAATCTGAAGAACGTTACTTAATTTTTTTTTGTATGGAGTTGTACTATGTAAAAAAATTATATAACGTTCTTCAGATTCCGTTTTTGTATTGCCATATTTATTCTTACGGACACGATTTTTTTGTAAAATAATAAATACAAAATAGAATGTTGATAAATAAATGAATAAAGATGAATAATAAGACATTAAGACAATATGTAATTTAAATATTTTTTTATAAAATTACGCACGTAAATTGACATTCAATTATTTGAAGTTATAATAGGTTGTTTCTTTTTTAGATCTGGTTATAAAAATATTGTCAATTCAATGACTAAAATTCAGTTAATCCACATGGTATATAAGGAGATGTTTTGTCTTATGTTGTTGAACAAGTGTTGTTGAACAAGTGTAAAAGATAATGACGAAAATAATTGTTTTGCTGGCCGTGAGCTCAATTTTCACATTGGGAAAAGTTAATGGATCGTAAGTTGATTCAACGAATCATTTTTAACATATTTTTCTAAAATGAAGTAATTCAAAAGATTAGAAAAGATTATTTTTTGTATCCATGCAGTGATCTATTTGACGCTGTCGCGAATGACTTGATAGGCAAGGAAACGCAAAGAAAGAGTGCAAAATCCAAACAAGATCCAAATGCAGTCTATAAATCGAATCCCGAAGCATATGCCAAATTGTTCAAACAATTCTTGGACGATTTTACAAGAAACCCAATGTAATTTTGTGACAACTATTTTATGAGCAACCAATTCGTAATCTTATTTTGTTTTACAAATAACAGGGTTTCGGTAACATTCACCAAACTCGATTCCTTTTCATGGGAAGGTCATTATAACACCAAAATACATATGACTGAATCATCGCGTGAATTAACTTCACTAAAGGGAACACTATTCCAGCAGAAACATAAAGCTGTCATTGATGAAAAAAATAAGTACGATATTTTTGTGCCAAAAATCTTCAGAATTCTAAACGAACTATCTTTTTCATAGATTTATCTTGCAAAAAGCCTACATTCAGTTATCGAAATGGAGTTCAAACATGCTAAAAGAATCACCACGAAAATCGGAATTGAATATGAATACAGTTCAAGAACTCTACACTGAAGCTCTCTTGGCGCTCCAAGATACAAGTGCAACCGAATTCAAGTATGAAAAATTAGCTCAATTTAACAAAATCAAATAGACATTAAATACATAATTTAATCTGATTTACAGGGAATATGAATTGTTCTTTGTGTATTTTTATCAATTGGTAAAACGTTTGAAGGGCTCGGAAATGCTACACCAAAATCAATTCATCAAGGATACATGCTGGGATCTAAAGGCCAGACATATTAGAGATCTTAAGTAATTTAATGTTTTGAAGCATTTTTAATAAAACATCGATCGAATCATTGTTTATTATTCGTAGGCCAGAAGACGACATCGCGAAATACGTCGATACCAAACTTGAATTAATCACAAAGAAAATGAAAAGATTCGGAGAAGTGTCGACAGAATTTATAAATTTGTATTTTAAAATTTTGGAAAATGCGCCTGTGTAAGTGAACATTTCTCAATTAACTCATTAATATTTCATTGAATTAAATTTTGACGTTTGTTTAATAATTTCAGGGTATTCAATATGAACGCGGTTAAAAAACAATTCAAAGCCTACAAATCAAAATACGGAAGCAGTAAAAGCAAAGACACAGATTACCGTACGGTTGACATTGGAAATGATTTGTTTGAGCAAGTTTTTCAATTTGGACCAACAAAAAATAAACAAGAGAAATACCCATAAGTTCAATCATTTACAAAAGTGAATATAATTTGTACAATTTTAACATTTTGTGATTCTTATTGTCACCAAAAAATCGAATTAAGCCATGGGCAGTAGTTATAATTCCTTTTGTTCTCTACACGTGTAAAAGACTGTTTTAAATGAAACATGCTTCAAGATCGAATAGAATTGATATTTTGTTTACGACAAATATGATCACACGTGTGCAAGTGTGGTGTTGAATTGATAATTTAATTTGAATAAACAGTTTTTCTCACTTTTCATTTGTTGACATTCTAAATGATACCAATATTTTTTTCGTTTTAAATTCAATAGGTTTTTTAACGGCTGTGTAAAGCAAATATCAAACTTTTTTCAGATGTGAAAATATAAGCAAAATAACAATTTTGCATCAAAAACAAAAACAAAAAAATAAGATAAATGGTTGAGTGTGCTGGTTGAGTGTGATATTGAAGGCATAAATAAATGCCAAACTCTCAAACTTTCACTGTGGTTCTCACATAATGAGAACTTATACAAATAATATCATACTTGAAAAACCTTCAATTGTTTCAAATTATTATTTCAAAATACACGAAATGTGCTAAATAAGTGGAACAAAATATCATCATATCAAAGAGACTTCGATATCAAATATCCTTGAAAAGATTCAAACATTTTTCAAAACTGTAAAGGGGTAATTCAAACATCTACATTGATGCGCTAAAAATGGTCTTTCCAGAGAAAATCCCTATCAAATCGAAAGAATTTCTCCTATTTTAAAACTTGATGACACTTTTGAATTGACGAACATTGTTTTCCCAATTTGCAACAATTGTGCAAATATTCACTTGACCAAGTGGAACGATTTTAAATTTCGTCGGTACTAATGGCTTCAATCGTTTTCACTCGCAAAATGTGTAGAAGTTCCATCTTAGGTGCTCCGAGAAATTGCAATTCGGTGATTATTGAAGTCTATAGTACTGCGGAAAAGTTAGCTTCATTTATAATTTCATAAGATATTAGTTGTAAACATGTTTGTTCGACCGAATATAAAATTTAAATGAATCATCATTATTTTGAAAATTATTCTAATGGAAAGAATTGTTTTTTGGAATTTTATTTTTTATTCACAAGAAAATAAGACAACATTTTCCAAAAACACATGTTCAGACATTTGTTTTTGCAATAGTGGCCTCCTATGAATATAGCATCAAACGTACTGTCTATCATTTATTTGAAACGGTATTAGCTCTGAAAACTCTTCATGTTGAATTTTGAGTTTTGGATCTTTATTTTAACCAGCCTGATATCACTTTCCACCCAGCAGACACCGAAAACGCAATCATATGACTTCGAAAGTGACAGAAGTTCCAAATATTTCATCGAAAAATTGGAGAATAAGAACGCCAAATATAAGTATGGGCTCCTTAATATTTTCGAGCGAAAAACATCCAGACATTTATAAGTGAAGCATTTCGGACGAAACTATCAAATAACGAAACACAACACAATGTGGATTGGGAATTGGGAAGCATTTAGAAGTTGGATTAATGATGCCTCAATCTTCATTAGCTAATAAAATTACATCCGAAGAGTATATAGTGTTGCCTGTTGTGGTTGTTGTAGATGGAAATAAAGTAACATATGCGAATTTCTGGGATAAACCATGTATTTGCATCGAAGGAGGTTCCAGAATTTCAAAGACGAATTTGAATCCTGACAAACGAAGTGCTTCCGAAAAACTCAAAGCAATTCAATACTATGGAAGACCAAGTTATTATACAACAGGCGATGTATACGTCTACAAAGGGCCCAAGTGGATTCTTTCGAAAAGTAAATATTTTCCTGAACCATATAATGGACTGTCGAAATTGATGTCGAATAATGTCAAGAATTTGCAACAATCTGCTAATACGCTTACCTAAGCCGTCGTAATACCAAGGGTGCAACAGCAAAATGGCGCAATCGTTATTGTTTTCAAGTGAAGAAATCAATTCTTCATCTTTAATGAATTCCAATTTGATAAAAATCACTTACGAATTAAAACATTTAAATTGAAAATAAAATGATTGAAAAAAGTATTTTTTATTTTTGTTTTTAATTGACGTAAAATGTAATTGTAAGGCGATGGCAAAAATGAATTTAACTTCCGCAACAATTGCTTCGACTTTTTTTCGGTCCAAATAATTGCGTCAACATTTTGTGGCCATCTTGGACGATTTGGTAATTTTGATCATCTCCTTTACTCTCAAAGATTTCAATGTACTTTTTGCACTGTTCGTTTATGCTTTTCACGTCCAATTTACTATGGAATGATTGAAAAATGACGAATCAATATACTCATTTACACAGGTTCATTCAATGTTTTTCATTTACCTCGAGAATTTTTCAAGAATATTATAAAACAGGTTAATAAATTGCGTTGACACATCATCGAATACTGCATTGGCCACCTCTGTTGATCTATCTTCCAACTTACTTTTAATTGCTTTAATTCTGGAACTGATATAACTGTATCCCAACCCTCCAGTTTGGTCTGTGATATATTTATTCACCAAGTTTGTGTACTCTCTAAAAGTAACTGGGTCTTTATAAAATGCGTTTGTGCCTTTAATTCGTTTTACTGCGCCATAAAAATAAATGAAATACACTCCAAATCTCCTAAAGTCCAAACAAATGCCGTCATTATTGTTATCGTTGAAATTCATTCGATGAAAAAACTTTACTTGAAACGGTCGTTATTTGAATCGGCCAGTACTGATTGGCCTGCGATGTAAAGATGACGAATAGCATCTACAGATATTTGGGGTGACGTTTTAACGTCATTCACCGAATTCTCCAGCATACTGTCTAACCAAGTGCTTAAGATGTAACAAATATTTCGCATGATTTTCCTAAAAGCATAAAATCAACAACATTCAGAATTCTACAGCAATGTTAGCATTAAAACTCATACAGATTTTTCTTCTGAATGAACTCCGAAAAGCGAGTCTCGAAAGCTGTTCCACTTAGGGACATTTGATTAGACAAATTTACAGCCAAATGCACCTTCATCATGTAATGACCCAGCCACGTAGTGGAACTTAATTTTTTGAATCGCGCCGATGTTCTATTTTTTTGGATAAGAACAAAGGCAATATTCTGATGACTCCAATCCAATAAATATTTTTGTAAAAAACATACTTTTCTTCGGTGTCGGTGAAGTTTTTCAAAAAATCGATGAACTTATTAGCGTAGATTGTAGCGGAGATTTCGTAAATAGCAAATGGGTTTATACTGGGATCTTTTGCGTCCTCGTCCTTTTGTCTTCGCACGAAAGTTAAATCATCAATTATATCGTCCAATGGATCACTATACGAAAAATATACGTGTATTATGAAATAAAAACATTTGCTCATAAACTTACTATGACTTAACTCCTTCCAGAATATTAAAGAAGTACACGACAAGAATAAAAAGTAACGGCTTCATCTCTACAGGTTTCAGAAAAGAAGACTGATCTCAAAAATATGCCAGATGATGGATTAAATAGAAATATTGAAAATCAATGGATGAAAAAAAATACATATTCATTGAATTTAATTAAAAATAAATAAATTATAAATTTATTTGAACAAAAATGGTATAATTCACCTGAAACATGTATCCTAATCTGAAGCTATCTTAACTTTTTCATACAATTAAATAAGCGATATAGTATACTTGTTATGACGTCAAGTTATTGTGTTTTTGAGAAGGTATTCCTTTCTTTTTTTCAAAGTAATTTATAATGAATGTTTTATTCAGACGGAAAATTTTCAATGTGTAGAAAGTCCTATGTGAACCACAAAAGTATCGAAATTTGAAAAATATCTGGCATAATTTGGCCTGTATTACATTTTAAAACAAGAAGGTGTTTATTGGTATTACACACAGAGAAGTAATACAATGAAAACTGGATGACTTGTCGTATAAAATTGTATTTGTCCATCTAATTTCATACCAAACATCGTTTTTGTGTATTGTCTTTTATGCGGTTCTTCTTCGTTTATGCTTTGAAGAAGATCCGCATAAAAGAGAATACACAAAAACGATATTTTGTATGAAATTAGATGGACAAATACAATTTTATACGGAGTGTCAACTAGTTTCGAATTTTATACGACAAGCCATCTAGTTTTCACTACTGTCAATTTCTTTGTGTGTACAGTTTACATGAATTCATGATCATTTCCACAGATAGTTATTTAGAAGATTTTGATTTCTTCATCGATGGTAATTTGATAGAGAAGCTTCCACTTTTCTTCTGTTCAAATAGTCGCATCACAATTCTATGGCCATCTTTTACGGTCTGATAATTTGCGTCATCTTTTTTATCGGCATATATCTCCATGTATTTGTTGGCATTTTTATCGATGCTTTTCACATCAATTTTGCTATGAAGATTTTTTGGAAAAAAGACAATAAAATGCATGATAGAATAGATAAAATGAAAAGAAAAATATGCTTTTTACCTTGGACACTTTTCGAAAATATTATAATATAGATCAATGAACTCATTTGAAACGTCAATAAATTTTCCATTTTTCTCTTTTGTGGTTTTACTCTCTAGGCTCTTTTTTATTGCTTTAAGCTTAGATTTAATGTAACCACTTTCCGTTCTACAAAGGATTGTCATTATTTGACTTTTGAAATTTCCAAAGAAACTTATAAAAACTTACCCTGTTTGATCTGATATATATTTCCTGACTAATTTCCGGTATTCTTTCATACATTTCATTTTTTATCATCCTGATGGTGTCGTTCAAGCGACGAACTATATTGAGCAAATAAATGAAAAACACCCCATATCTCCTACAATTTCATAAAAATACACATAAACATTTTGAAAATTATTTGATATGAGCAGAAACTGTTTTTCAGAGCAGGAGGGACAACATATTAAAAGTTCAAAAAATAATTAAAGCTGCTCAGAGCTCCCTTCCTCACATTTACTGCTGTGAGAAACAGTCCCTGGATATAAGTTATTTGAGTTCGGTCGAAGATCTTACTTAAACATGATTTTCACTTCCTTGAATTCTTGCTGATCGTTTAGTATGAACAGACCTACAGCATAAAGATCTTGAATATTATCTATGCTTAGTTTTGGTTGAGCTTGCAGAATTGCTTCATACGCAGAATTATCTAGCATTTCGTTGAACCAACGGCTCAAGATTTCATGAATATTTTGAATGACTTGCCTAAAATGATAAAAAGTCATGAAATCAAATAATCTCCAAGGAACATAACGTTCTCATTTTCAACATACAGATTTTTCTGGTAAATGGCTACAGAATGCATAAAATGGAAATACGTGCCCATTAGAGATATATCATCTATCGATTTTTCATCCAAATACAATTTTGTAATGTAATGACCCTCCCACGCTGTTGCACTAAGTGCCTCAAATCGTTCGGTGATTTCACTTTTTTGAAAAATAAAAGCCCACATAATATTACTTATGTGATAATAATATTAATAATAAAATTCAACATACTCGCAATTCTCATAGTTTCCCAAAAATTCTGTGAATATCTTAGCATATCTTACAGCGCTGTTGTTGTAAACAGCATTTAAATCTTGTCCGTGGACATGATCATCTAAATTCTTCTCTTCTTGCATTCTACTCAATTCATTCAACACATTGTCAAATGAATCGCTGTGTTAGAAAAATTTAAGCAACAAAAAATATTCATCAGAATATAAAGTTAAAAACAAATCCTTTGGAAACTTACGATTTAACTCCATTCAAAATGACAAATATGCTCAGGACAGAAACTAATTGCATCTTCATCTCTATATTAGCGGATGGAAATATACCACTTTCTAATATTGAGAAGCCGCTTAAATAATATTCAAATGGGCTTGGGCTGAGAAATTATAACATGAATTCCAAATGTATTCGAATATATAATTGTGATGAAATCAGTCTGTGATCAGACGGGGAATAAATAAATATCAAATTCATCGCATTTCTTTAGCTTTGACGAAGATGGATGTGTTTTCAATGGAAAATAATTTCAGACAACAATACGCGAGTACAGTATTCCGAGTTCTTTACTTTTATTTAATTTCATCAATGTCAAAAGGAGAAAAGCAATTTAATTAGCAACATATATAACCAATTTCTTACTTTTTGCCTAATTATAATGCCGTGCGTATAACTTCAGTAATTATTTTGAAGGAATTATGAAATGAAAACCCAGAAATCAATATCTTAGTGACGAACGCTTGTCGTCTCGTTTAAATGGTGCATCAACCCTTTTTGTTTTCCTTGGTCCAAAAATACGCATAAAGGTTGAATGCGCTATACTAATGATGTAAAGATTATTTTCAGATTTTTTGTCCGAGTGCAAGTAATTTCCCATAAACATTCTGACTAGATCATCGAATGGATCTATGACAAATTTTCTGCAAATAAATAAATAACATATTATTCTCTATCGAAGTCGAGTTAATTTGAGTGACCCTCGTAATTGAATAATTAATGAAAAACGTTGTGTTGATCATTTCTTATTCAATTATTCTCTAGGTTTAGTTTCATTTTTTTATGTTTCTTACTCGGGTGCATATTGAAAGATGTAATAATATAAGTTGATTATATCGTTTGAAACCTCATTGAATACAGCATTTAGGTTCGCATTTATTGACATCGTTCCTTTGACTGCCTTGATTTTACTCTGCAAATACTTTGCAAATTCATTTGGTGTCTTCGTTATGAATTTTGGTATCGGTATTCTTTTTCTAAAGAACGGGATAGCCAGTTTTTTACCACGACTTGGCTGGGGACTAGGAATTGATGCGGCATCTGTAAAATGTTTATTTACCAGTCGCTCATATTCTCTCAAAATCACTGCATCTCCGCACAGTTTTTTTGTGCCAGCCACTCTTTTTGCAATATTATAAAAGAAGATGAAAGCCACTTCAAATCGCCTATCCAATCGAAAGTCATAATTAATCACAACAATGAATTAAAAAAAAAATGCTTACAAAAAGTGTTTTTTTTCTCACTTGAATCTGTCCCGGCTACAATTTGTATCTGCAATTGCATATAGACCCGCAAGATATCGTTCACGAACTTTATCTATTTGCACTTTTCCTAAAGTTATGGGCGGCTTACACTTTTTCATCGAAGAATCTCCTAGCATATCCACTGTCCATTGGCTTAAGAAATAATACATTTTTCGAAGGATGTTTCTGAAATACGAACGCAGATATTTAACGTGTTTATCAACTAAGCGTTTTCGATTTGAATCCATACGTGTTTTTTATGTGAAGCGTAGCAAGATGAGCAGTCTGAAATGCGGTTCCATTCAGCGACATTTCATTGGCTAAATTTTCAGACGAATATACTTTCATGAGGTAATGGCCTTCCCATGCATGTTCATTCAGATAGTGAAACTGCTCAGACTCTCTAA